GGAGCTCTACAAAGACTGGGATTTCATTCTGCTAAGGAATGGGCTGCCTGTGCTCAGCCCCACAGGCCTCCGTAGTGCTCAGAAACCACACAACTCCTGTGAGACCGTGTGAGTGCCAAGATGGTAGGGAGTTCAGTGCCACTGAGCAGCTACTCTGTGCTACTGGGAATGCTGAACCAGCAAGTCCTGCGATGCCAATCTCCTTATTTTGTTTTAAATTCCTAGTGTCTGATCAATAAACACTTGCTGAGTTAAGGATTAAGTAGGAAATGTTTTTTTAAAATATATTTTTATTGATTTCAGAGAGGAAGAGAGGAAGAGAGAAAGAGAAACATCAATGATGAGAGGCAATCATTGACTGGCTGCCTCCTGCACGGCCCCTGCTGGGGATCGAGCCTGCAACCCGGGCATGTACCCTTGACCGGAATCGAACCCGGGACCTTTCAGTCCATAGGCTGACGCTCTATCCACTGAGCCAAACCAGCTAGGGCTGAGCAAGTAGTTTCTAATTGCTGAATCCTCATATCCAAATTAAAAGAAAAATAGACTTCCACCCAGAACCAGGGCTATGCCTTGCCCATTTGAGGACACGAGCCTGAAAACTAGAAAGAGAAGTCCGCCACCCATATAAGTCCCCTATCATGCATTCTGAGTTCAAATGCATATTTTTAGCCTATTTTTGGCTCACTGCCCTTTATAGGAAACAATCAAGAAACAAATAGACATACTGGTGACTGACTTTTAAACATCTGTCTGCTCCCAAGAGAGGAACTACTCTGCATAAGCCAGGATGGTGGAGCTTTCTCCACAGCTGCTGGATCTTTTAGAAACATCGTTAAAACAAGCATAGGACTTTTATTTGCATATTACACCTCATTAACTTAGAATTAGCTTACTGTCTGGAATTGTCAGAAACACCTTGGAACTAGTTTCTTCTCCCACAAGAAAAAAGGAGCTAATTAAGTTGGCCAAAAAATAGCCAAGGCCTCTTAGAATTTCATCTTGAGGTGACATGGTAGGTATTTTATCAGTCACATGATCATATATTGCTAGAGTCAAGATTAAGGCCTGCTTTAGAGCCCTCATTAATGGCAATGCTAGATGCTTTACAAACTTTATTTCATCACAAACCTATAAGGAAATAACACTGTTGTCTTTTCATAAATGGAGGCTCTCAGAACTGATGTATCCTGCTCAAGATCCTAACCAAAAAGCAGAACCACGATGTCAAATCCAAGTCAAGTATGCTGTACTGTCTCAGATATGGTAGTAATTAAAAAGAAAAATAAGAATGTCTTCACAAGTTACTGCAATAATAGAACTACTTTATTAAACATATGAATGTACTTATTTTGTACAAAACACGGTGATATTTCTTTCTCTCCTCTGCCACACGAGGCTACCACTCTAGAACTTCCTATTTACCAAAACACTTGGCAGCAGTCATGACAAGTTGAAGAAAAGTGCAATTCTGAAAGTAACACCACATAACCAAAATGGGGAACAAAACCAGGCAGAAGTTAGCAGGTTTCTTGGCTAGCTCTCTGCTGACAGATCCTAATCGTACTCAACAGGTAATATTTTAGGAATAGAGACTCCTGAGTATATAAGTAAATACTGCCCAACTCTATGGCAGCATCCCTCTTCTACTTCCATCTATCCAGATGTTATTATAACTAATAATTTGTAACTTCTTTTAAGAAATTCCAGTTTGGCTCACACCCCTATGAGTTGCCTATCTCACTTTGAATTTCAAAATAACGGAAGAGCAGTAAGTTTCAAAATGATGTCAATTGAGACATTTTTTGGATGAAACCTACTTTCTAGAAGTCAACTGTTCAAAACATATGCACAGCTGGACACAACAGACTGAGAAAATAGGTCCCGCTGGAAAATATGTTGGGTACCAATTAGATCCAGTTATTCTGCATCTGTGGATTTAAAATGATCATCATCCACAGTGGAATAGATGTGTCCCTCGTTGCTTAGAAAATCCACAGCTTGCCTAAAAAGAAAGGGAGGGAAAAAAGCTCATTTTCTTTCTTTATAAAAAATTTTTATATTAAAACTTTTTTTTTCAGCTGTGACTCCAGACAGGATCCAAAGAGGAGTTTTACCATCTCTTCTGTGGGTTTTATGGAGACTTAGTTTACCCTTCTGTGTTAGCCTCTTAAGGCACTGAGTCAACCTTAAAAGGGCACAGTAAAGGGCAAAGAAAGGGAACTGCCTTCCTGACATTGCCAAATATATAAACTTCACTACCTCCCCACTTTCTATCTTAGCTAAGAATTCACATCCATTTGCTCACAAAAAGCTCTTTCAGGGAGAGATGCCAGTAAAATTACAGAACTGAGGTAATCCATGGAGGCAATGGCTACTGGGAGAGGGCTGCCTTGGATAACTCTCCCAAATTATATAAAGGCAAGAAAATAGAGCCTCACTTAAGTACCAGTAGAAGCAAATCAAAACAATCATCTAAAGTTGTAGTCCAGCTTGCACATAAAATCTCCTAGCATAAAGAGCTATTTTTAAAAGTTGCCCTCCCCACCCACCCACTGAACCTCTAGCCTGCCCGCTGGGAAGTAAAGTTGAAGGAAGTAAAGGGAAGGTCTTTCCAGAAACATTAAGAGACCTTCAAACCTTCACAGCCCCCAGGGCCAGAGTCAGTAACATATTTAGTAACAGGAACGATTTATAGAACAGCTATGTGGCAGCCATTTTATACCTCATCGTCATAGTTACTCTGAGACTGAAACTATTATCCTCATTTTATAGGACAGGAAATGAAATTAGACCTGAGCATTTTTTCTATCTAGGCCTAGCATACTGATTTATGGTAACAACAATCCAAGTATCATAATACCCCGTTTGATTAGTTCACTGGAATCAGGAAGCTGCTTGATAGAGTGTCAACTCTACCAGGGCGAGACTGTGGGGAGGACTGTCTAAATGGCTTCGGGTGCAGACAGCCTGATGCATACACCTCCACAGTAGGATGGTAATGCAAATGGTACTGTACATCTAAAGACCAGAGCTAAGGACCTCACACTCCTCCAGATTTAATCAAGAGGTATAAGGTCAATTTTGCTCAAAATTATATCCCACATAATGGGATTCAGTATTTGTTGAATGAACAAACGAATGAGTGATGGTGATAGTTAACAACATCCTTGCAAGTTCTTTTCTATTTTTCCATGACTGAACAACTTCCTTTCTGTCAACAGATAGTTTTGTGGTTTATTTTCTTAAATTTATTTTTTATTAATATCAGAAAGGAAGGGAGAATGATAGAAACGTCAACGATGAGGGAGAATCACTGACTGGCTGCCTCCTGCACACCCCCAACTGGGGATGGAGCTCGTACCCAGGCACGTGCCCTGACTGGGAATCAAACCATGACCTCCGGGTTCATAGGTTGATGCTCAACCACTGAGCCACACCAGCTGGGCAACATAGTTTTTTTAAAACCCACTTCTCATTGCCAGGACACTCTGACGAGGTGAAACGGGCATAATTCTGGAGTCCTAGCTCATAGAAACCAAATACTCACTTGATTGAGGCTAAAGGCATGTGTTGAAGCTGGTTCTTGAGATCGTGAAAGTTCAATCCTTCAGGTCTTGGGCAAGCCTTAATCAAATTCAGCACCTGGACATTAAAATCAGAACGATTTTAGCAACTACTTTGAATCAGCTCCCTTCTTAAACCAAAGTGTCTTTAAAAGAAGGAAACAAGTAGGGTACTTAGCCTCAGAATCATTAAGGAAGTAGCAAAATTTAAGACAGTCTGTGCTTTGCATTTCTGGAGCCATTCAAGTAGAGTTTACCTGGTTTTGGGCCACAGTGAGGCCATTTGCCGGTATGAGGCTATTCCCACCAAAGCTCCCTGCTTCACCCATTCCTGGATTGCTGATAGGCGCTCTCCCGGCTGAGGGCTGAATTAAGAAATAAATTCACAACATTAGGAAATTAATAAATTTAAACACAGTCCTTGCTAATTTAAAGAGCTTGTTAAAAAGCAT